ACCCCCCTCCCCCGCCCTCTTCCTCGTTATTTTAAACAATGAAACCGAATATACTCTCCTTCATCTCTTTCCATCGTTGAGAAAACATTTACACTGTCGAGGCCTTAATTGCAACGACATTCGATCCACGGGGCTTCGAATATTCGCGCAATGGCACGGCTTGAAGCACTACGCAAACAATCTCGACTACCAAAGAGAACGCGGAACGTTGACGAGCGCAGACCGGAAACGAGGCGACACTGCCTGCCAGGAGAAGCGCACTAACACCAAGCGGAAATCATAAACAAAACACAGGCAGACAGACAGAGACGAAGACAGTAGAAACGAGACAAAGAGAATAGTGTTGCAGTATTCGAGTGGAAATAGAAGAAGGGCAGAAGAAGATATATATGAAGAAGATTGAAACGAAAAGAGGCGCTCCTTCTATGAGAAAAAGACAGGGAAAGAAAGATGCACCCCAATGGACCAGCTAAATGAGATCGCCTAAAATGCAACGGCTTGCAAAAATATTTCAACATGTTCCGCGAAATATTTCGAATGATTATATTGGCGAAGTTTGCAACAAACTCTGAGAATTTTGGAGAATTCCAATAATTTTGAACGATTGATATTCTTTTACAATATACACGCATAAGTTTCGAAATTCTTATTTGATGGTGATGTATTTTGAAATTCACTGTTGATAAAAATTTTGGAACTTGTATTGTAAGAAGATGTGAATCGTTCGTTGTCGGCAACGTCAAAGGACGATAGTTGACGAATACTTCTGTGACTCATTGTTAACGAGATTCATATTATACTTTAGTATTTTTTTTGTTTGTGTTTCGTTCGAAAAAGATATTTTACATTATAGGCGCTCACAAAAATAGTGTACGTTCGTTTTGACAGTAAATTTAGCTGGACCATTTCATACAGAGTTTCATGTAGATGAAGAAGAAGCAGAGAGAGAGAGAGAGAGAGAGAAAGGGGTTGCAGGATAATTCTCGAGTCATGCTTCACTGGTCACTGCGAGATAGCCGAGAGCAATTAAGCGAAAAAACTAAACGTCCATCTCTCGGATCCAACGTTCCATCGAAGTGGACGTAAAATGTATCTGGTAATTCGGACGTTCTTCAGTTGATTCTTCGGCTTCCGCTTTGTTTCCTGCTGGTAGTCTTCTTTTCTTCTTCAAGACATTCCCCTCGAGATATTCCATTCCCTTCTCGCACCTCTCCAATCGACAATGAGCTTCTCCTATCTCTTCTCTTTCGTCTTTATTCGTCCCTTTCGTTCTTTCTTACTTTCGTTTGTTTCCTTCGTTCGTGTTCTTTTTTTTTTTTTTTTTTATTTTACAGCAGAACTGAACAATTCTTTTAACACGTTCATTGTGCTTGGCAACCTAAAGCCATATAGAAGTCAAACAGATCTGATCTCTACTTTTTACAAATTTTAGTATTAGAATTCTCTTTCTCCAACGAGGAATAAAAATTGTTTTTCTTGGTGCAGTTGATCATTCTGACTTTGTACAGAGACAGTTTCACATGACTGAGGAACATTTTCATTTAATTTTAACACAAGGTGGAATTGCGAAATTGAAAACGAAAAAGAAAAAAAAGTTGAGTTTCGTAATAATTTTTATAAACACATAACGTATGTAAAATTTCCATTTAACAGGGAATATTGTACGAGAATTATTCATTATTCTACTGCGAATGTTTATGCATTTTATGGAAAATTTAAAGATGCAAAGATACGCAAAATCCACGTCATATGTAAAAATATGTAAATTATCAAAAGTACAGCATTGTTTGTGAAATTAATTCGTGAATGTAACAAATCGGTGTATAAATTATATTCCCTTAGTCGCGTTAATGAAAATAAAATATAAATTTTCTTAAAAAATCCTATCCGCATTAGCTAATTATACAAAATTAAAAATTTAATTCGTGCACAATGAACGTGTTAAAATGATTTCTCTCATTTCTTTGCTTGCAATATTTTAGGATATTTCGATTCTCTCGTGATTCCATAATTAAACGACTCGAGATTCCTTTTCGAATACCCGATATTTAATATCGTAGGATCAGGTCGTTTGCGAATACTTGGCG